AAACTACAACTCTACCTTATTCTTAGATCTTTGTGATTTCATGGTTTATAATTCTATCTCTATGGTTTCTAAACCCCTCTTTCATTAGGAATTAATGTTTGTTTTCCAATTGCCTTTGTCCTCAAATGGTCTTTCATTAGTCTCCCAGTCAAATTTTACCTAATATCTAACTCAAACACCACCTGCAACCATACCTCCATATCTGAATCCATGGAAGTAATCCCATAACTTCATATTGAAATTGAAAGGCCTCCCAGTCCAAATGCACTTGAATAACTGAGGCCTCTAAACACTGTTTGATAATTACAGGTACCAAATAAACTGTATGTTTATGTATCAACACTGGATATTTAGAAGGCAAAGGTTTCTTACTTTAGAAATATCTGACAGTACTAGAAACCCAAGCCGTAGCCAATATTATGACATATTGAATAGGGATGAACATTTTTGTCACAACTATGAAATCCTTGCAGTCAAACAAGACTAACAGATATCAGAGACAGAAAATACTCATTTAAAGCATAGTAGACCTCCACAGTAACACCACTCCTCTAAGATAATATCGACCCACCAAAAATCCCTCAAAATTCTTGCATTGTTTCTGGTGAACAGGATGATAGACACTGTGCAAAAGAAGTCTAAAAAACTGACTTGATAGTTACTCTCACTGAATACTACAAAAATAAATCCTTGAGACCAATGAAGTCACATAAAGAAGCATTTTAAAAGTTTTAATTACACATGCTAATAACTTTAATCACAATACTTTGAACATGCATAATAAATCCATTTACTTAAAAGATCTGTAAAAGACTTTGTTCAGTCCTGAAATCTACTGCAGTTGCTCATAAGCAGCATGATAAAGGTAATACCAGCTAAATCAGCTCAGCTGAACTGTCAATAAAAAACCTTACACCACAAACAACACAGATTAAGAACAGGGGTAAACATCAGACAAGATCCCATATGGGGCTGCACATAGAGCAAGAAATACCACACCATACATACTTATGCAAGCATATAAACACTTTCAAAGTCCTAGCCTAAAAACAACTTTGGTGGTAACCAGCTTACTTGATAACCTGAGACTTGAGCAGGATCAAAACTGAGAGCTAGCCAAGCAAAAAAACCACAGATGTCAGATAACATCTGATGTCAATAAACATAAAATAATAAACCCCTGAAAGAATAACTTGCAGTTATTCCCACGTGACATTAAATTTTAAGGCAAATGTATGCAAATAAACAAAACAACCACTCACAGGATATGCAGCTCAGCAGAATCTCTGCTTAATACAGGCACAAATGAGACAAGAAAAAGTGTTCAGATGAAAAGAGCAAAGGTATTGAAAACATTCTCAATTCACCTGAAATATTGTCTTTTGTGACATCGCAAAAAACACAGAATCAGTTCATTGATTTGTATGAGCTATGAACAGATACTAAAGACTCTAGGAAAAAAGAAAATACACACATACACCCCCCCTTCCCCCCCACCTCTGCAAAAAAAAACACCACACAAAACCAGAAGAAAACCAAGACAACAGAAAATCTAAGCAGCAAGAGCAAACGTCTCCCTTCCTAATAAAAGGAAATGTACAACCATGATTAAAAAGCAATCTACTAACAACAAAAGGAACCATGTAATGCTATTGTGGAAGTCATTATCAAAGACAGATGCAAAGACAACTCAACTCAGAAAGGGACAATGTTTTTTATTGATTTTAGGTGCCTGCACCAGATTGGACAGGTTTTTTTCGACAAATCAGATTTAAAAATTCAGCTTTTGACTGTGTAAAACAGTAACTACATAACCAAAATTAGATGGACAATTGCCTTCTAGGCAAGTCATTCTACATAACACATGGGGGTTATCATTGTCCACGTGAACCAGACCTCTCTGCATCCAGTACTGCACAACTCAAAGAGACTGACATTTGAGTGAGGCATCACCCTTTTTCTTTGAGCGTCTTACAAGTTGCAACTGACAGTGACAACCTACCTTACCCTTGTACCTTGCAGCTGTCACTGTACTGACAAGCACAACCAATTTAAGTGAGACATACAATTTACTCTCTAGATGAACACAGTATGCAGCAGAAAGCATCTATTTGTGTGCAGCAAATAAAACTGGGTTACTGTTCCTTCAGCAGAACTACTAAAAAGAAGCTTCTTAGTATATTTACATTTTTGTACGGTTTTTCACATCTGCATGAAGACATATATATCTTACAGAATAATTTTAAAATCTCATATTCAGGAATTGAAGAAAGCTCCTCATTGGCATTTTGGTAAAGAAATTGTAAATGAAACAAGTTAAAGAAATACAAACGTAAGCATGAGCTCAAATGTTGACTCAGATCATGCTAGTATTACTCATATTAGTCATCTTACTGGACTCATGCTGAGAACCCCATGGAACATATGAATACATAAAGAGCCCACCAAAATCAGTGCACAGCCAGGGTCAGAGGCTTTGAAACAGCAGCTCTATTAAGTCAAATGAAAAAATATAACTGTGTACTTGCCTAATGACAGTGATAACACTTGCATGCAAGCCTAGGTATAAAGTAGCACAGGGGTGTTACAAGAAAAATGCGAGCTTGTAAGGAGCACTAGGATAGCATAGGAGCACTAGGATAGCATAATTTGGGTTGAAAGGCACCACAGGAGGTCATCTAGTTCAACCTCCTACATAACGTTCCAGTTACTTTTCTAAAAAACCACCAGATTTTGGTTGCCTTCTTCCAGTTGTTTTTTTTTTTTTTTAAGAACACTATTTTTCAGAACAAATACTTGTTTTATTATTCTGTTAACTGCTTTTTAATTGCAAGTTTTGTAACTTTTGATACTCTTCTATTCATAATGAACACCATTTAATTACTGTCTGTGTTTAATAATACTAAATTTCTGAATTTTGTTTATTTCCCTTTTAAGGATCTTTCAGATGAGATCTCAGATTATTTCTTGTAACTGCAAACATTGTCACTTTGCTTTCCATTTACATAAGGTCATACTGCAAAAATGCCCCAAAGCTGAAATAAAAAGAGACCAATGGCAGACCAACAACCTCATTCAGCAATTGCTTTTCTTCTAACTTCAGAAAGAGGATGTCACTGCTAGTACAACACGGCAGTAACATTCACTTTAAATCTATTCTGTAGTCATGCATAACATTACCTCCACATAGTTTGGAAATGGTTATTCTACAGAGATTTCAACATTTTATTAGCCTAATCATCACTTTGAACAGCTACAAGTAAAAAGCAGTAGCAACCTCCTTTCGTTTTCCATTCTGCAGCTCCAGCCAGTCTGATTCAACCAACAAGGATATTGGACCATTTTCTGCATTCCATGTACTTTTTGCTCATTACAACTTCCCTTCCCAGCAGCAAATACTCCTTCCCCCTGCTGCTGTCATTGGTGCTTACAAGAAATGAAAATCTGTAAATAGGTCAAATTTAGGCTTCTCTGGAAAGTCCACCACAACTTAAAATCCCTGCTATTTCATACAGTAATACTGAATTTGTTTAACTGAAGAGTCTAGATTTACACTATGTAAGTCACTCTGGATGCATTCTCATCAAGCAGAACACAGTAGTGGCTACTGTATTCCTACTGAATCCTCAAATTACTGCCACAAACCCTAGAAAGGGAAGAAAAATGAGCATGCCAAAAGAACATCACTACAGTATTAGCACCATACCAGTTATGAAGAAGACAGATGCAGGGAAGGAAAAGAAAGTTAATCAATATAACTGATCCAAAATACCTTTAAGTGTGCACAGAATCTCTATAGTCTTCTGTCAATACTGGTTTTCCATAAAACAAAAACTTAAGAAATACTTCTCTCTCACCCAGTTACATACATATTGCATTTAACTAGCAGTAGAACAAATGCAGTAGATAATAAATTAGTAAACTTTACAGAGCTAAGATGTCAGAAGTACTGATCATGAAGCAAATAATCTCAAGTGCAAAATTATACTCAAAACTAATAGCCATGGCAAGCTTCCCAGTTAAGTTTACTTCTGTCCAGCAACCAAAAGGAATACAGTCAACACTTCTCAGCATAAAACTATTTATGAATAACCAAGGAAGATGTTATTTTCTCACCTGTCGCTGACTGCAGAAGTGAGAAATTTGAAGACAATGCCACGATCAGGTTCTAATAAGACTTCCGTCGCAAAAAGAAAAAAGAAAAAAAAATCTAAGAAAGTTTTATCTGAAATTCTTCTCTTAAAAGAAAAATTACCTTCTGAAAAATAATCAAATCCATTAATTCACAACCCACACCTAACGGAACACTTCCCCACGCAGAAGAAAATTCAATAGGGACTTACAGAGAAAAACCACAAATGTGGTTTTTCGTAACTGTTTGCCCTCCTTCTGCGAAGAGATTTTTTTTTTTAACGCCACAAATAAGTATTCGCGAGGAAGTTCTCCCGCAACGCACAGCAGCTCCGCCGAAGAGGCGCGGTGGCCACACTTCAGCTTCCCCGCCGCCCAGGTCGGCCCGGCCCGCCCCCCGGAGCCGTGTTTACGGCAGGAGGAAGCCAGCGCGGTGCCCGCTCACAGCGCCCGGCGGGCAGGTCCGAGCGCCCGCCCGCCCGCCCGGCCCCCGCCGGGCTGAGCCCGCCCGCGGGACGGGGCGCGGGACGCGGCGGTGCAGCCGCCACCCGGCCACCCCCGGGCCCGCCAGCGGGCGGGCGCTGCCGGCCCAACTCACCGCGGCGGCGGTGGCGGCTGTGCAGAGCGGCGCGCAGGCAGCGTCCCGCCCGCTCCCTCCCCATGCACGGCGGCGCCGGCCGGGGACGCGGCGGCAGCTCCGCGCCGACCCGCGCTCCTGCCGCTGCCTCCGGCTGGGCGGCCCCGCCGCCGCTCACGTCATCGCGCGGCTGCGGGCGGGGCGGGCCCGCCGCGCTGCCCCGGCGGGGCGCGGCCGCTCCGCGCGGGGCACGCCTGCCGGGCGGGGCAGGGCGGGGCGCGGGTCCCGGCCCTCGGCGGCCCTCGGCGGCCCTGGGTCCGCGGGGACACCGTGCGGCCGCAGGGCGGGCGTCGCGCAGCTCTGCTGTGGAGGCGGCAGCCCCCTCGTCACAGAGTCACAGCACTCTCTGAGTTGGAAAGGGCAAAGGACACACATGGATCACCGCGTCCAGCTCTTAGCCCTACACAGCGCCATCCCCAAGAGTCACCTCTGTGCTCGCGATCGAAATTCATCTGGAGCTCTGTCAGTTTCCGCTGGGGAGGGCACCGGGGCTTGTCGGTGCGAGAAGCAGAACCGCTGCCGAGCAGGGAGTAGCTGCTCTTTGCCCACGCTGCTGCTCGACAGCCCGTGTGGGCAGCGAGGGCTTCTCGTCTGTGTCTGTAGGAGCCCGCCCAGCTAAAGCTGCACCGCGGTGAGGCGAAGGGCTTGGGACCAGTGAGCGTCAGGGACAGATCTGGCCTTGTTCAGCCACGGTAAACAAGCAGTGCGTCTTTGCTGCGGTCTGGCTGCACAGTAGTGAGCCTAAGTAAAAACGTACAGTTGTTTTTTAAGCAAACTGTGTGTTTGTGCTAGTTCTAAATCCCAATTCTTGGGATTTATTACACAGTTCTGACTTCCGAAATGCACGCTTTTCTGTCACTTCCTGTGTGATGAGTTTGTTCCTTGTTTTCTTGTCCATGTCAAGTAAATACGCTTCACCTGGAGGCCCAAGAACAGAGTTGTCCATTAGACAAAGAAAAACACAAGTTGGGACAGGTAGGAATTAAAAAGCTGTGTAAAAGTTTGATGGATTATGAGTCTCAGACTGCTGATAGACTCACGCCCATTACATTCTTTGCTTTCAAAGCAGGCTCTTATGTGTCAGCTAGAAATCTGGCACTGTCAAAATGTAATTCTTTAAGGACAACCTTACTTTGTCATGTCACTGTCATTTCTCTGATGTGATGCATGATTTTTTGCTCTGTACAGAAGAGTATCTGCTATAACATCATCTCACAGGTCTCATGTCCTTTAAGAACATCTCACAAAATCTAAGCCATTTCAGAACTAGAAATTATATCAGTGGGTACATTGCTTTGCTTTTATTGAATGTGCAGTGTAAAGAATACCTGGTGATTTTGAAATAAAGTCAATTTCAGCATGTTTTCTTTTATAATATCTAGTCCTTCATCTCAAAGAGTTTCTGTAGTATTACATCCTCTAATAATTTGCTCTTCATGTTTAATGTCTTTTCTTAGTTTGCAGTTTGGAAAACTCACACAAACATGCTGCAGTGACACTGGAAACTTCTTCCAAGCAGAGAAAAGAAAGAAATTACAAAATAAAAATATTCTGATGCCTCTGAAACATAATTACCTAATATGCCACTGATATCCAGACCACTCAAAAGATGAGGAGAGTAGTGTACTACATTGCTTGTGCTCACTGCATGGCATAAGCCTCTGTTCATCAAGATTTCTGTGGACAGACCCGTTCAAATGTGAAGAATTTGACTGAAGTAGATGACAAATTCTTATATTGTTAAGTTTCAGTAGTTTGTCAGGGTCAGGTGTAATTGAATCTGCAAAATTTCTCAGCCTCTGGAGTAATAAAGTACATCATCACTTGCTTAGATTTTGAAAGTCCAACCTGTGTTAGGAGTCCAAACTTTACAGTTTATCTAAGGATACCTGGCATTCTTGTTTGTCTTCTATTATAATTAAACATGTTTTAGTATAATGTAGCAATAAACAGAATTAGCCTATGAAATATCCTTTTTCACTGGTTTGTTCAGCATTGTTCATTACTTTCATCAGAGTTCTTTCTCCTATATCAATTTTCAACAAATCCTTTAAAAGGCATCTGCACTCAAAAACTGTGAACATCTCAGGTTTGCATCTAACCGCCATTTAAGCACTCACTTTCCCTTTTTCTTTGCTAGATGATCATACAGTGTCCATACATTTGCATGTTAATATACTTGGACACCAGTGTCAACCTGTCGCAGGGAGTTGAAGTACCGTTTATGTCCGTTCACACACCCTATTTTCCATCTTCACACTCTCTGAATACCCTCATGTGTAGGGTGTAGTGACACAGGCATAACCACAGAATCCAAAAACATGGATGCTAAACAATAAACTTAGTAAGTATATTCCCAAATAATGGACAAAAATACCACTAATTATACAAAAAAATTATATCTTCAGGTGATGTAGCAACCTCAAATTTAGTTTGCTTCTCAAAGCAAGTTACAAACTTGCCATCTGTGTAAGAGACTTAGTTTTACTTTCTTGATTACTTCTGTGTTCCAAATTCTGAGATTAGTGTGCTGGCCGGGATATAGACTTTGTTTCATTTTTATGTTCAAATTGTTGAAAATTACATAAATAATTCTGTAGTATTTCCTTCAAAAATTCTTATAGTTGTTCTTTGATTTATCATTTTCAGCTGAAATTAAAATCAAAGTATATTGTCTGTTCAGAAGTAGGGAATTATTTGCAAAACCTTTGCAAATTACAACACTAAGGAGTTACTTAGTCAAATCTATGCATGTATTTCACTTTTCTTTCTACTTTTGTAGTAGGATGTAAAATTCATGCTGTTTAGTAAGTACATTTGTCATAATGTTTTTTCTCCTTTTCTTTGTATAGTAGGCCCTGCCTTGGACAAAAACATATTTGGTTAAAAAGCTCCTTATGCCATCTATTCCTTTGAATAGATGGCATAAGGAGCAGCCTTAAAGGAAATGTTTTAATTTTTTATAGTCATTCTCTGAAATCTATTTCAGTTGTATGGGTGATTACCTCCTTCCTGGAGGAGAATGGAAGAGAAAACACCTGTAAATACAAGTTTGTGTATGACTTGGCTTGCAAAAGGACACATTTCTAATTCATCCCCTTTGGGGAAATATAACTTAGGAAAAGAAGCCACCTCTTGGCTTTCAGGGCCCCAACAGGAAGGGCAAGATTGTCCTGTTCCAGACATCCATTTGATACTGTTCCCCTGAGAGAGAGTAGAAAGTACCTAAAATACCTTTTGTAATGCAATTCTGCAAGGACGGCTTTTGAAGCATATACTTAAGAATGCAAAAGGTACTTCTCCAGACACTAAATTGTACCCTCGTTGCTGCTCCTGCGGGAAGATGCACTTCTTTGTCAGTTCCTTCTCCAAAAGCCCACTGTGTTTTTAATCATGTAGAAAATGCTGCATCACACAACAATCTCATAGGAAAACAATTTTAAAACCCAAACATAGAAAAAGCCCTACAAGAACAGGCATTAATTCAATTGCTGAGCAAGTAAAAAGCACTCAGAAACTACAGTGACTAATGAAGAACAGTGACTTCTATAAACCAGAGGAATGGAATCAGGTAATGCCCCCTGTGCATCCAAAACTGCCCTGTTTCCTTTCCCAGAAGTTTCCAGGAGCTGGATAAGCTTTCATTTGCCAACAGCTCTCTGGGATTGCCTCCAAACAATACAAGGAGAAGACAGAGAAGCCTGCTTTGTAGCCCACAGTGATCAGGAATGGTGCCCTGCCTGACAGATTGTATGAGGGATGGGTGTGTAAGATGTCCAGTAGCATTAAATCTTGGATGATAAAGGATTGCATAGCAGTATTGTTGTGTTTCTTAACCAATATTGGTAGCATATGCACAAGTCAACCACATGTAGTACATGAGATTTTCATCTATACCTTTCTAAACCAGTTTTGTTTTTCAATAGTTTCTGATATGTTTTCTGCAAATAAAGATTACATTATTTGTTTATTTGCTGTTTAGTGAAGCTAATTGCCTCATTTGAGTTGTAAGGCTTGCACTGATCTCTATACTGCTTGGGGCTCTACTAAATGTTGCAATCCTTTGAACACTGTCATCCATGTGGCTCAGCACCAGTTGGTGTGGATCTGATATGGAAATGGAGTAAATTCATTTCTTGCCAAATTAGCTGAGTCACAACAGAGCAGCAGCATGGGATTTCCTTTTAAGGAACATGTGCCTTTCTCTTATTAGAGGATAAAACCTAGCATGCAGCCAACAATTTGGTAGCTGGAAAATGCAGGCAGGCAAGTAAGCGCAAGCAATTGGTTTAACTGTAGAACTTCAAAATAAATTTTTAAAATGCAGTCCAGTGATGGGAAATAGCTTGGTATAAATGGTATTACAGGTAACCACAAATTTATTATCACTCTATGACTTTTTTGCTTAGTAAACATTTAGGTATTCTAGAACCACACAGTGAGGAAAAGGATCAGTAAGTCTGAATTTCTACTCAAAATCTGCTAACAGAATTAAATAAAATTAATAAAACTGCAGCCTGAGGCTAAAGGAGAACCTTCAAGTACTGAAGACTCAGCTTGTAGTGTCTGTTAGTGACTCTGCTGTCAAAGTCCTAGTGATTGCTATACAAATGCTTCAGGAGTCCATCAGTATGTCAGGACTCCATCAAGTAACTGTTTCCTAATAAATTTTTGCTTGCATGCGTTCTGTTTTGCTTTGTTTTCCCTTTCATCTTTAAAGCAGGGTATCTAAATACCTAAATATCTAACTGGTATCTAAATACAATAACATATGAATTTGTCTTGGGTTTGCATGGCCAGATTTTGGGAGTGGGAGAGCTACTGGCTTCTATTGGAATGCACTGGAAGATTCCTCCATGTCTGGTAGAGCCAGTGTCAGATGTCTTCAAGATGGGCATGCTGCTGTCCAAGGCTGGGACAATCAGAAATGATGGTAATGCCTTCTGATAACATATTTAAGAAGTAAAAAAAAAAGTTACTGGGCAGATGTTATTGTGCCAGAGAAGAGCAGAGTGAGAGTATGTAAGAGAAATAGTTCTGCAGACAGCAAGGTCAGTGAAGAAGGGGAGGGACAAGGCAGACACTGCAGCTGGGACTCCCCTAAAGCCCATGGTACAGCCCATGGTGTGGCAGCTGTGCTTCTGCAGCCACAGGGGATCACATGGATGCAAAGATCCACCTGCAGCCTGTGAAGGAGACCCACACCAGAGCAGGTGGATGCCTGAAAGAAGTTGTGCTGGAGCAGGACCTGGCAGGGACCTGCAGACCCAGAGAGAGAGGAGCTTACACTGGAACAGGTTTCCTGGTAGGATTTGTGACCCTGTGAGATCTCATGCTGGAGCAGGCTGTGCCTGATGGGTTGCACCTGTGGAAGAGTGCAATCTTCCTGTGAGATGAGCTCACACTGGAGAAATTAATAGACAACTGTCTCCTGTGGGAGGCACCTCACACTGGAGCATGGGAAAGGTTTCTCTCCCTGAGCACTGGGAGAAAAAATTCCTGATGAACTGATCATAACCCCCATTCTTCTTCTGCCTGCATCATTGCAGGAGGAAGTAGAGCTAGGAAGGAAGAGAAGTGGGGGAAAGTGTTTTTAAGATTTTCTTTACTTCTTGTTATCCTGATCTGATTTTCTTGGTCCTAAATTCAGCTAATGACCAAATTCAGTCTGTTTTGCCTGAAATGGTAATTGGTTTGCTAGCCGCATTGACTTTATCTCAAATCGTGAGCCTTTCACTATATTTTCTCTCCCACGTCTAGTTGAGAGGGAGAGTTTTAGAGTAGCTTTGTTGGATACCTCGTATCCAGCCAGGATCAACCCTCCACTGAATTCAAAAGGTTTTCAGTTCTACTGTTACATGAATTGCATTCATATTCATAATAAAGATAAATTAAAGTGCCTTCCCAGGTCTACCTATCAATAGGAAAATAACTTTTGACAAAGAAATTGTCTTTGAAAACCCCAGGGGAATAGGGAAGTCTACTAGATTGAAAATCTCTCAAAATAGATTTTGGAGGGCCCAGGGTCTATTTTTTCTTTTGAAAAATCAAACCAAAATCACCTCAGCCTTTCTCAGCTTAGGCAAATATGGGGAACAGTCTGCTTCCCTCTTATACACAAACTAGTATTTCTCTATTCATTCTTGGAGTTTCCAGATATTTAAAAGGACTCAGACATTGACCAGGAGTACTCTAATTAATTACAGGTTTCTAGCCTACTTCATTTGAATACCCTCTTGAGAACTTCATTGTGTACAGTGTTCATGACTACATAATAACCTGGCATCAATTTGTGGAAAATGAGATTATTTTTTGAATAGTGTTTTCACGTGTGTATATATATTAGAATATTTTTCTTATCTATTAAGACACGAATGGAGATTTAGATGAGAATATTTGTTACGGATTTTAAAAATTAATATTTCTGGAAGTCAATTATGTACTGTTTAATATTGTCTGATTTTAAATGCAATGGACTGCAGCTCTGCCCATATTCTTTTACCAGGCATTATTATAGCAAGTTAACCTTCCTGAGCTTGTTTGGCAGCAGTTATCTATCTGTGAAAGCCAGGAAGCTTCAAAAGTTAATGTTTATGTAAATTCATTTCTATCAGTAGTGTTTCATCCTGTTGAGTTTGGGGTTTTTCTTTGCGTTATTTAATCTGTTGTGTAATTTCATCTGCGTTAGTGTAGCAGGATGTGAGTGTGATACAGCTAGAAACTAAAAGGACAAAAGACAACACAATGGGGTAACAAATATCCTGTTAAGGTCAGCTGTTGAAGTTTTTGAATTTCCTCACTCGAGAGCTCAACCTTCATGATTTTTTTTTTTTTTAATACATTTAAGATAAAATTACTAAGCTACTTGGATGCAATACAGAAATCAATGTCATGAAAGTGAACCAAGTGTATCTTGCACATTTTCCTAACTGCTTTCTGGACTCACATCAATTACCAGACAGAACAAA